GGGCCTGGTGTAAGCTGGGATAGGCGGGTGTAAGCTGGTAGATGGCGATTAATAAAAAAAAATGATGATGATGATGATGATGATGATGATGATGATGATGATGATGATGATGATGATTACCCTGCTGTATGTTGTGGCTGGTGGTGAGCAGGGTCACCTTCACATCCATGTTCTTGTCCATTGCCAACCTCTGGTGTCCTGTGCACTCTGTGTGAGGAACACCACCTTTGGGTGCCCATGGGGCTGACTGGTGATGCCTGCCTCCCCATTGACTGGTGGCCAGCTCTCTTTAAGGGAGGCTGTGCATCAGAGGAGGAGCATCACTCCTGTGGCCTGCCGCTGTCTGTCCCCTGCCACTGACAGACACTTGACTTGGTCTCCTCAACTCATCACTTCCATTGGCCCTGCCTGCCCTCCCTATCACATCACGCCTGTCTCAAAACAATGCCAGAATGGAATACTGCGATGGGATCACCACAGATGCCATTGTAGCATCACCTGGTAACACTGTTGGGGCACCTTTTTCCCATTCGGCCACTGCATAACCATCCCCTTAGGAAGGCTATTAACAGGGATGCAGCTGTGCTCCAACTGGCCACTACAGTGCAGCTGCAACACAGGATTGCTCTGCCTGTCAGTCAGCCATGTGTATTGCAGCTACAAGTGGTTCTACAGAGCCTTACTAGAAAGTCCACAGTTTGAGTTCAGGCTAGATCATCTGATGATCTAGAGGTGCCACCCTTAAGTGGGACGGGGGATCCCCTGGAATAACAGCTTATCTCCAGATGATAGAGATCAGTTCCCTGGAGAAAATGGATGCTTTGGCAGGGCTCTTTTTGTAGCAGGAACTCCTTTGCATATTAGGCCACACACCCCTAATGTAGCCAATCCTCCAAGAGCTTAGAGAGCTCTTCTTACAGGAGCTAGTGTAAGCTCTTGGAGGATTGGCTACATTAGGGGTGTGTCGCTTAATATGCAAATGAGTACCTGCTACAAAAAGAACCCTGCTTTGGAGGGTGGACTCTGTGGCATTGTACTCCACTGAAATCCCTATCTTCCCCAAGCTTCATCACCAACTCTCCAGGAATTTTCCAACCTGGATATGGCAACAATTCCCCCTCATCCCATGCCCGTGGGGACCTGGCAAACCTAGATGAGTCCCACCCATAATCTCTGTGGAGAAACACCATTTTGTGGAGGGGAGGAGATTGGTCCCAGGATGCTGCAGGAGGGAGAGCCAGTTCCTGGGCGGGAAACTGTTTTATATGTTTGGTATTGTGGAGTTTTGGGTGGGAAGCCAGTTCAAGTCAGTCAGAAGTCTGGAGCCAGTCAGACTTGTGGTTGGAGTCTGCAGAGGCTACATTGGGAGACATGTTGATCTAACCTTCTCCAGTGAAATGAAGTCATGTGCCTGCCCTGCAGATCATCTAGAGATCTATGAGTGTAGAGAAGGGAGAGATGAAGCGTTTTTGTCACCTTTATTTTGATTCTTTTGTTCACTGTGGAGATGTCTGTAAATAGTTAAGTTCTTGAATAAATCCTTTTAACTGTTGGCAGTGAGAAGTCCCTCTGTACCACGTAGTTCCCCCAGCTGCTTGGGTACACTAGGGGTGTGTTGGGGACTCCCCAAGGAGAACAAGGCAAACTGGCAGGTTGCCACTTTTCAGGGAAAGGAAGCCCCGAAGATTGCCAGGAAGCCCCAAGGCGGGTTCCTAGTAACACTGGAGGGAGGGTTAGGAGGCTGTCCCACCTAACCAGAGCCCAAGACAGGGACAGTGGTGGCAGCAATACCCTGAGGCAGTGGAGAAAAGCTGCCCCTTCAGGTGCCAGGTCAGACAAAGAAGGGGTGGGCAGAGTGGGGCCTGCCAGCTGACCCAGGCCCGTTCCGCCACAATCTCTATTATGTTCTGAAGTTTAAGAACACAGAGAAAGGGCTTCTGACCCCACCCTAAATGGCATTAGAGGTGTACGCTTGATATATATTGAGCCGAATAAATACTGAGTCATGCAACGGAGGTGGTGGCAAAACCTGGTGAGTGAAATTCTCCATTATATCCTATGTGGACAGTCCTCATAGGGTATATTGGAGCTGAATAAATTTGGGTTTCCCAAATATTTACCCGAATACCAACACAATACTGATACTAGTATTCAGAAATATTCGGGAATACTGATATTGTACAGGTCCAATAGACGTGAATCGGGGGGGGGGACACACTATTTTTTCACACTCTTAAATGGCATCCTTAGTAGGTTCAGGCAGTTCATATTATTATTTAACTCAGTGTAAAAATGGTTTTTGGTTGTTCTGACCCCTGTGAGAATACGTTCTGTTGCTGCCTGCTTGCATTTTCTGTGGCTAATGCGATGTTGTGGAACAGCCTTCCAGAAGATCTATATCTCCCTTGCTGTTTCAGAGAGTGTGTAAAATGAAGCTCTTTAGAAGAGCCTTTGGCCCTTGAAGATGATTGCTTCATGAGTGTCTGAAACATATCAGTCTATGTTGGACTTAATATTTTCTGCTGGTTGTTTTAATTCTGTTGTTTTTACAATTATATTCTGTTGCACTGATTTTACTATTGTTACCTACCTTGGCTCTCAGTTTTCTTGGAGCAAGGTAGGTTTCTAAATGTTTTAATCACATAAATATAAATTTAATTTAGGGGAAAATGGCATTTGATTATTATTACCAGTACCAGAATATTTTTATTTAATGTATTCATACACACTTCTCCAGAACTGCTCAAGGTGAGATGTATACATACTTACAGTAAAATATAATACAAGTAGCAAACAGTATAATAATCTAAACTGACAAGTCATAAAGCCACTATTATATATACAGAAAGTTGCACAATCAAAACAAGTTTAAAACAAATTATTCAAAACACCTAAAGTATCATATCTTAGTGAGAATGTGGCTACCTACCCACAGGTATTCCAGAAGAAGCCCTCATTAGTTAAGTTTTTGTAGGACAGCGGAAGGGTTAAAATATGTATTTTAGGCAGGGAAGTTTGGCAGTTGTATTGGGGAAAAACCCTCACAGATTTTAAGGAATACTATTTAAAAATGTATTTGCCAGTATGAATGGCTTAAAATGAGCATTATAAGTACCATGAGGTCAATTTTATCACATCGGGCAATATTTGATTACCGTGAAATATTATAACCAGGAAACGATAAGCTCTACAAGGGCTTTGGGCTTGCTTCAATGAGAGCCATATTAATGACTAAAAGGAAGCTCTTGATTGCTCAATGGTCCTTTATTATAATCAGAGTCTATGGGATCCTGGTGAATGGAAACAGCACACTTGAAGAGAAATGAGATTCAGGGAAACATAATTTTACTCAAGCACACTGTTCATTTGCTTGTGTCTCATATGAATAGATTTTAAGGTATGTTTCATTAAATCTAAAAACACAAAGGTAAAGCATATTATTTCTATCAATGCAGACCAAATTTATATTTCATTAAAATGTGGAAAAAACTAAAATAATCTCAAGAGAACACTGTTAATCCGTCACTTTAGAATTCTAGTAAGTTTCACTACTGCACTAGAATTCAGATGATTGCATTGCTAAAATTGAGTTCTTTCACTTGTAAATAAAGGCTTGACTTTTGTATTGAAAGTACTTTTTGGCTTATTCAAAGAAGAAAAAATGACAAAGTGTACATCACGAAAGCTCACACCTTAAATGTTGGTATTAAAGGTGCCATTGGACTCTATGTTCAAAGAAGAAAGTGTTATGGATGTCTTACTGAACCCTTGTATTAACTATGGTTGTCCAAATTACAATGAACAATAACATTCCAGAAGTCAACTGAAGTCAACACAAATTGATTATTGTGAATATGTTTTAATTCTAAAATAACAATATAAAACATAGGCAATACTTGTTCATTCTCATAAATGGAGATAAATGGTTATCCACAATTATAAATATCTATGGCGCTATACATGGTATTTTTTCATGTGGGCTTTTTTCTGTGCAGGCTTTTTGGTGTATGGGCTTTTTCTGTGCGGGCTTTTTTCCATGTGGGCTTATTTCCACGTGGGCTTTTTTCCTGTGAGCATTAAAATAATCTCAAGAGAACACTGTTAATCCATCACTTTAGAATTCTAGTAAGTTTCACTACTGCACTAGAATTCAGATGATTGCATTGCTAAAATTGAGTCCTTTCACTTGTAAATAAAGGCTTGACCACACACAGCCTGGCTGGGAGGGCATGTCCTGAGATGCAGTTTAAACCATGTCACAGGAGAAGCTGTCCCCAGAATCTGTATGTGGCACAGAGGTACAAGAGAAGCCATTCTCCTGGCTGATCCTGGACTGGGTTTAAGTTGAGCTGCAAGAGGAGCCAAGCCAGCCCCCATTGAGGTGGCATGGAGCTCTCAGCTCTGAGCTGCAAGAGAGGATCAGTTGGGGCAGCAGGAGGTGAGAGCTCTGTGCCGCCTCTGCTGGGGAATGGTCCTCTTTGATATAGCTGAATATACCCAAATAAAGGCCAAAAAAAATCAGCTTTTATTCAGACTCAGCTATACCGGTAGCTGATCAGTTTCTCTGAACCTGTATTCAGATTAAAATAAGGTATTTTCCAGATATTTTTCTAGCTCGGCTTAATGTTGCCTTCTCTTTTTGTTGTTGTTGTCTTCTGTCTTTGTAACCCACTTTCTGTCATGCCTTCAACAGTTTTTTGTTTGCACGGTTTTCAATTCTGTAAGCCTAGCCTTACTGCATTGTTTATCAGAGGTCTTTGCTGTTTGTTTAATTAATTTTTATATTCTGTAATCTTCCTTGAGTCTCAGCAAGAAAGGCAGGCTAGAAACAAAGTAATTAAGTAGATAAGTAAGTAAATAGGTAAAGAAATACTAATTTTACAAACTTTTTTGGATGTTGCTTAATCAAGCTTTAATTGATTGAAAACAGAAGTATGGATCTTCCTTTCATTTCATGGGGAAGGGAGAGCAGAAGGGAGGCAGACAAAGGCAAGACTTACCTGGAGCCCAATGGGTCCTGGAGGACCTGGGAAGCCTCGTGGACCTTCATCCCCTTTCTGCCCAAACATCCCTTGCTGTCCTCTTGGACCGGGCTCTCCATCACCCCCCTAGTAGATTGGAAAAGACAGAATTCTCAACACATTGCATAGAGAGATTTAGAGAAAACACATTGAATGTAACTTGTTTGGATCCAAAATTATGTGGTGCTGAAATTAATTTCTCACAGTATGGGTGAGGACTAGAATTTGTATTTTAAGATGTTTAACATATATTCGGACTAATTCATTTAACAAATACAATAAACACAGACCTGTGCTCTACAAATAAGCGGTCCAGTAGTAGTGAAGTCTACTAATCCATGCAGCTGCTATTTCTAAGAGATGTCAGAAGCCAGTTTATTCCAATTCAGAAATATTTATGCCAAGAGAACAATACAGTTCTAACTCTGCTTGTTTTGTACCAAGTCCTGTTCAGATACTGAGAAAGACCACATGGATTTAGATTGTAATGTTTTACACAATTAAGCCACATGAATTCCATGAATGTAGGCTGTGTAGAAGCAAGATCACAACCTTTATTCCACTCTTGCAAAGAAGTCCACAAAAGTTTCTAGCCCAGAAAACTAAAAGATCAGCACATGGTAAGAAGATCATTAGAAGGTGAAGGAGTTCAGTTGTTTGTCAGGGTAATGACATGGCTACCACCTGCCAAACATGTGGAAGACATTATCACAATCAATGTACTTGCTTCTTGTTGGGAGAGGAGAAAATTTCCCCATTGACAAAATCCGAGTGCAAGGAAAATGCAACGGAACATTTTAAAAGGCCCTAAATGAAGGCACACCCAAAGAACAACTTCTCAGACGGAGAGCAATCCTAAGGAGGTCTACTCAATGGTGCTTACTCCCAAGAACGTGTTCTTAGGGTGGCACCATCAATCATGTAGTACAAGGCTGGAAAGACGACAAAGTGAGTACTTGACATGGAGAGCACTTCTCCTTTTGTGAGTTCATTGCACATATGTTACTATATAGACCAAAAAGAAATGCTGGGGAGGCCACTGAACCCTACTCAGTGAGCCCTACTGCTCACTTGGAAATTCTGGGTGCACTTATTATTTTGACAGATGCAAAAGTGACACATGAACATGCAAAGAAAATAGTTCTTGATGCTAACCACAAACACGAAATCCATTCTTAACATAGGCAACAATCACATATCTCACAAACACTTGCTCCTAGATTTGGTTTGTACATGAATGCTCAAAACTTTGCGAACAGTATCACTTGCATACATAAGTCAGATATTAACATCTTAGTAATGCAAATGATAAATAGGTACCACTTCGGTGGGAAGGTAACAGCGTTCCGTGCGCCTTGGTGTTTAGTCATGCCGGCCACATGACCACGGAAACGTCTTCGGACAGCGCTGGCTCTTCAGCTTTGAAACGGAGATGAGCACCGCAACCCTAGAGTCGGATTCGACTGGCTTTCGAGCAAGGGAACCTTTACCTTTTACTGCAAATGAACACCACATCACAAACATTCAAAGGTACCTCAAGCACAATGCTTTTCAATGGGCTCACTTCATATCCTAAAAGCATTAGTCCTGCTTCCACATGCATTTAATAACACCGACTGTAATTAACTGTATGGAAGCTTTTTTTTGCTGTCATGTCACAGCTAACTTATAGTGACCCTTCATGGTCACTTTTCAAGATGAGAGACATTCAGGCCATTGCCTGCCTCTGTGTGGCAACTCTGGACTTCCTTGGTGGTCTCCCACCCAAATACAAACCAGGGCCAACCCTGCTTAGCTTCCAATATCTGATGAGATCAGGCTAATCTGGACTATCCAGGTCAGGGTATGGAAGCATTACCTAAATGTTTAGTCATGGATTATTTCTTTGAATTGTTACACTCCTGTAACACCGATACAGCAGAGCACTGACCTAAGACTGGAGCCTGAGGAAGACATGGAACTGTATAGACACAGATGCCTTGAGGAAGTAATTTAAAATCTTCTCCATATTAAGCTATATAAATTATGTCTGAAGTTTTGGTACAATTAATGAGAGTTCAGGAAAGGTACTCATTTGTTATGCATAACAAGCGGGATACTTACAGCTATACCAGGAGCACCGACAGGACCTTGAAGACCTGGCGGTCCAGGAGGACCCTGCAAAAAAAAAAAAGCAAAAAAGAAGGTTGGCATCTGAAGTCAGATGAACAGCAGATCCACAAGAAGGTATTTTGCATTATTCAGGTCTAATAAGCATCCCTACATTTCTTTGGAGAGATGGTGCTGTGAGTCCAAGGTCTTTTACATTCTGAGCAGTCAAGCGTTATTTGTTCACCTCCCAAAGTCTTAGACTTCGTTGTCTACAATAAATTTAAAACTGACATTTATCGAAGGAAATTACATTTGCAATATTTCAGGATATTTAAAGGTGTATTTCCATTCAAACTTGAATCATGGTGAGAACTGCACTTTGCTCAACTAAAAAAGTATATCAGACCATTTGGGGGAGATTTATAGAGAAAAACAACAACTATGCTGTCCTTTTCCATTTCCAAATACCCCCCACCCAAAGAACAATAAATTGATCTTATCACTGAACAAATCTCACTTTATTGATTTAACAGTGCAATCTGTTACACACACTACATAGTTACATACTTCTAAGTCAACTGAGGTTGGTAGACTTAGAAGGATATAACTGTGCTTAGGATTGCACTTTTAAATGCTAAATCACTGTGATTGCATCACATGGTGAAACACAAACCCTTCATTAGAAAAGTAGACCAGGAAGTTATTTAAACAAAAACTATTTATGCTGTTTTAGCAAATGGGGGGGGGGGGTTAAATTGTTCATTGGTTACTAAAAATGGGATAAAATTCTTCACTATTGCTTTGAACATTTCAGATATAGTTTCTTTTCAAGCAGACAATCAGAAGGAACTTGCAGGGGCAGCCATCCAATTTCCCCCACCTTTGCTTCCTCCCCCTCCTCTGCCTGTTCTCTGACTCTCTCCTTCTCTTACTCCTTTCTTACTTTCTCTCCCTTTTATTGCTTTCTGTCTCTGTCTTTCTCCCTTTCACTCATGCTACTGGCATTCCACCTCCCCTCATGTTATTTCCATGGTGTCATGGTGTTCCTAAGGGCAGTGTGGGACACTGAGCAAAGAAGAAGACAGGAATTATAAAAATAAACACACAAAGGACTGGAGCAAAACAGATCCCAGCTTTATTGATTACAGCATTCAGAGCACTGAAGCATAGGGCAGGATCCAAACATCGAGCAACCTGACTGTGGGCTGATGAAGCCCCATCGCAGCCCGTGTGCTGTGGGAGCCAGGAGTGACAAACAGGTCTCACAAAGTCACAAGCACCTGTGTGGAACCCTTGCCACGTGGGAGTGGAGCCAGGCAACCACCCCAGCTGGGCATGTTGCTAAATGGCTCGACCCCCAAGACCCCATAAGAAGCCCTATAGCCAGGATTTTTGGAAGGGGGTGCCAGGGGTGCTGATTAAATTAAAATAGCTTCAAGTGTGGAAAGGGGCATGATTGGGCTCTGAAGTCCTCCTGGTTCCATAAGAAGCACACCCAGGCCAGGATCAGAGGTCATTTCGGGGGGGGACGCGGGGGGAACGCGGTTCCCCCGAGTGAGGTACGGGGGGTGGGGCACATGACGAAGCCCCGCCCCCTGCTTCCGGCTGCCCCGCTTCCAGCCCTCATTCAGCCAGGAGGAGGCAGGAGAAGAGGGAGGGTAAGTTGCTTCCTCCCTGCCCCAGGGAGGGCCTTCGCGGGGCTTCCTTGCA